TGTAAAGGAAAAGGGAGAGGAGGGGATTCCGATGGTATGGTGACAGTTCCTGTCTTCAAGACATGTCTAATCTTAGCTCTGGGAATGGAGTGGCTGGAAAAAAGAACTATTAGACTGTGTGCTGGAAAATTTTAGAAGGCCTGGAAAAGCCCAGGGCACAGCCACGTGGGAAGTGGGAGATGAGGACAGAGTGCAGGTTTGGGAAAGGCTCACCATTGTTGGTGTCGCCGATACCTGAGATTGGGAATTTGATGGTCTTTTATATTTGACAAAAAATTGGAAATATTTGAATTTGAAGAAAAGCCATGAGTGTGGAATATTAGATACTTTTAGTTAAAGGTAAGCATTATTGCAGTGATTAATCCCTTTGAAAAGGTATATGTAGCTGGGTGCGGTGACTCACACCTGTAATCCCAGCACTTTGGGAGGCTGAGGCGGGCGGATCACGAGTGCAGGAGTTTGAGACCAGCCTGCCCAGTATGGTGAAACCCTGTGTCTACTAAAAATACAAAAATTAGATGGGTATGGGTACGGTGGCATGCACCTGTAGTCCGAGCTACTTGGGAGACTGAGGCAGAAGAATTGCTTGAACCTGAGGAGTGGAGATTGCAGTGAGCTGAGATCCTGCCACTGCACTCCAGCCTGGGTGACAGAGCTAGACTCCATCTCAAAAAAAAAGGGTACATGTTTCTTACAATAAGAGAACAGAAGCATGTCATTGCTGGAAAATGGGCTGGTTTTAGTGACTCACCATTGTGAACAAAAAGTTTAATTGTTGGCCAAGTCACACAGTGGTTTTCCCAGGCTCCAGCAGGACCCTGGTTTTTTCTGTGGATTGGGTGATTTTGACAGAGTGCAGTGAAAGTTCATATAGTGTGTTTGATACCGGGGGCAGATGATTTTTCACATTACTATCCTCTATATGACAATATTATTTTCAATAAAAATCATACAGTCAGCAACAAGTTTCTTTTTTTTTCTAGTTTGTAAACGATGAATGATTGAAGAAGAATGCATGTAAGTTTTAATATTCTATCAGATTCAATAAAATACTTCACACCTGAATTAAAATCTGATTTTTCATTTTTATAATCACTGTGCTCTCACTGTTTATACTAAATCTGTTTAAACCAGAGAATCGGCAATACTGCAGGGATTGGAGAAACAACCTGTGTTGGAAATGGAATTGAAAGCGAATTGATTCTAAACGACTATGAATTTGTTTTCTAAATCTAAGTCTGGATTTCCATGAGCAACTACAAATCTAGGAGTTCTCCAAATAAATGTTCTGTAAATACCATGCTTAGGAAAGCATAAGTAACACACATATGCCAATTTGAAGCTTACATACACACACACACACACACACACACACACACACACACACACATATTTTGAGACACAGTCTTGCTCTGTCACCCAGGCTGGAGTGCAGTGGCAGGATCTCAGCTCACTGCAACCTCCACCTCCCAGGTTCAAGCAATTCTCCTGCCTCAGCCTCCCGAGTAGCTGGGACTACAGGTGCATGCTGCTACACCCAGCTCTTTCAGTAGAGATGGGGTTTCACCATGTTGCCCAGGCTGGTCGTGAACTCCTGAGCTCAGGCAATCCACTGAAGCTTACATATATATTAAACTCAACAGTAGTTGCAATAATTGTTTAGAACCTAAACCAATAAAATAATTGCTTTTGTGAAGGGGTAGCTTCTCATTGACATTGTTTAGAACTACTGATATTTGGCCCGGTGTGGTGGCTCATGCTTGTAATCCTAGCACTTTGTGAGGCCGATGTGGGTGGATCACTTGAGGTCAGGAGTTCAAGACCATCCTGGCCAACATGGTGAAACCCCCATCTCTACTAAAAATAAAAAATTAGCTGGGCATGATGGTGGGGGCCTGTAATCCCAGCTACTTGGGAGGCTGCGGCAGGAGAATCACTTGAACTCGGGAGGTGGAGGTTGCAGTGAGCCAAAATCGCACCACTGCACTCCAGCCTGGGTGACAGAGTGAGACTTCATCTCAAAAAAAAAAAAAAAACCAAAAGAACTTCTGATGCTTAGTAATCAGAAAAAGCAGATGACTTTTAGTGGTTTTATTCTTGTAAAGATCTCCAGACACAACATCCTACCTTATTGCCTGCACTGGAGTAGCAGTTTGGTTGCCAGTGTGTAGCTGTGTGACTTTGAGCAAGTTGCCTTTATAGCTGCAGTCATCTTCCCTATCTGCAAAATGGGAGAGTTTTGTGGGGGTTAATAATATAATCCACACAGAGTGCCTGGAGTGGCACGGGCATACAGTAGGTTCTTAAGAAATGTGAGTTGTCCTCCCTTCTCCATCTGGAATGGGCAATATCTGTGTGTCTCTGGGACAGCCTGGACCTTGAGGAGGGAGCTCAGGCTGACCTGTCACAAAGCTGCCTCCCTCTTCATTCTCCTTCTGATGTCCACCAGGAAATGCCACAGTTCTGTTTAAGCAGCATTCATTGAGTGACTACACTGAATTCCAAAGGAAGCTTGAATAAACTCTAAAGCTTCTGAGATGTGTCCATGCAGGCTTGGATGGCAGAGCTGTTCTGGTCTCTCTTGGGATGAAAGAGTGGGAAATTTCAGGATGGTGTGTTGAGCTGTCTGTCTGAAGGGTGAACCTCAAAATCAACAGCGATTCTCCTTGTCTTGAGGGTAAAGAGGCTCTGCAGCTGTTTCTCCTAATCAAAGAGGGTTGGTTGTAGTCAGGCCATTTACAAATCACTTTCCTCCTCTTTCTCTGTCTTGGTCTTGCCTCCTCCTCATACTGATAATTGCCAAAGAATGTGGTCCAGGCCTTTTTGTGGCTTTTGTGAGCCTTTTATAGTAAAAGAAGGAATTCTCGGTATTCTTATCATGTATAAAAGATCAAGCTATTCTTATGCATGACATAGCTCATGTTGAACGTGGCAAAATGTTTAAATGACTCAGGGAGGCTCTAGGATGGCTACTTTACATAGCAATTGTGTGTTGTAAAATGAACCTGTTGCATTTTAAAGGGGCTAGAGAGAATTCTTAATTTTATACAGTTTAATCTGCCAAGTGATAAGGCTTTCTTTTCCCTTTTTTTTTGAGGGAAATCTATTTAGTGACGGCTATAGAGAATATTAGGAAGGAAGCTCATGTTTTTAAATTTAAAAATTAAAAGCATATTAGCAAATCTATCCTAGAAAAATATCTCATGTTGTAAATAATCTCAGATGTAGATTGTCGGATATAAAACGGAGCTTAAGATTTTATTTTTGCTAAACTGATATTCCAGAATGTATTGTATTTTTACGATATTAGCTGCATAGCCAATTCATTTCAACTGGAAAATACATCAAAAAACACATAAGTTAATCAAGATCAAGCTAAAATACACTTTAAAAAAATGTTTTTTCTGGTTTTATTGCCATCCTGCTGATTTATTTCTTAGAGAAAGTTAAACATTTTTAAAACACAGCATGAATGGATTTAAAAGGCAAACAGGATAGATCTGAAGCCTTAAAAATATTACTCAGCCATAAAAAGAGTGAAATCCTGCCATTTACAATAACATGGATGATATTGGAAGACATTATTTATGTTAAGTGAAATAAGCCAGGCACAGAAAGACAAATTTTGCATGTTTTCACTCATATGTGGGAGCTAAAAATCAAAATGACTGAACCATGGAGATAGGAGAGTAGAAAGATGATTACCAGAAGCTGGGAAGAGAGGGCGGAAAGTGGGGATGGTTAATGGATACAAAATATAGTAAGATACAGTGAAGAGGATCCAGTATTGGATAGTGCAACGGGATATCTGTAGTCAACAATAACTTACTGTATATTTAAAAATAAAGAGTGGAATTGTAATGTTTCTAACTTACCCTGATATGATTATTATACTTTGTACCCCTGTGTCAAGACACCACATGTACCCCACAAAGAGGTACACCTATTATGTACCTATAATGTGGGAAGTAGAAAAATTCCTTTTTAAAGTTTTTTTTCTGTTAAAAAATAAATCATAAGTGCACTAATAACTCTTTGTTAAGCCCTATCCTATGTAGGTGTTAGACATGCTATGCTTACAGGCACATAGTACATTCTATATCCTTGTACTTTAACCAAGATATCTGTGCTGGACGTGCTCACAGGCATGTCTCAGCTCTCCATTGCTTTTAGCTGTTTAGAAAAGTTTTAAGTTGTTAGCCAATCAGGTTTTAGTTTAGATTGTGGAGTCTGACTCCAGCCAATGGAAATCAGACACAGCAATAAGGATGACCCCTGAATGCATAAGAAATAAATACGTCTGCTTTCTTTTGTTTGTTGTACTCTCCTGGTAAAATGGCTAGTGAAGAGTACCCTTCCTGCAGTCCAGTAAGTAAAAATTGCATTGCTGAAAGATCCTTTGTCTCAGTGCTGATTTTTCTTTGCGGCACCAAGCATCTGTTTCCAACATGTAACACTCAAAAATTAAAGAAAACATACAAAGTAAACACTTGGTTATAAAATGGTTGAATTAATGAGCATTGGCAGGGCCAGCCTCACTGGCAAAAGAGATCTGTGCAGTCACATAGGGCCCCATGCTTAAAAGGCTCTGCGCATGGTGTGATGCTCTGGTAATCACCATTTTGAAATTCTTACTTATTTCTGAACAAGGGCCCCACGTTTTCATTTCGCAGTGTGCCTTGCAAATTATGAAGCTGGTCCTGTGCATTAGCTACCTTGTAATTCAGCTCAAACTAGTTCTGGACTTTTGAATTTTTATCCTAATTTTAACTAACATGTATCAGATTATTTTTTTCTGTATGTAAATTTATGAGGACCTGTCCGATGAACTTCCATGTAGATTTTTTTCCCATTTTCAAAGTTCTAAGTATTAGCTAAGTGGTGTTTTTAAACATTTTAATTTTGTTACATACAATGTAAAATGAAATCCCTTTTATTTACTAGTTTCTAGTAAAATATGTAGGTTCTATGTATTTTTACTAGATAGAAACAGGTAAAATATAACCTTGTTTCTCAAATTATTAATAGTGGCTATTGCTGGAAGCTGGAATTTCAAACAAATTTCACTTTCTAAGTTTTATAGTTCTGAGTTCAAGTTTTTACAACAAGAAGGAATTATTTTTGTATTTTGGGGGGAAAAAAAGAAACAATAAAGATTTTTTTTGAAAGTCTGTTCATTGTTTCCCATTCTGGAAGGCGGTATTGTGGTGTTGAGCATCCTGGGATTCCTATTCCTGAGGGCAACCACAGAAAATTTAGTGAAGGTCAAGAAATGGCTTGGAGTGATGAGAGTGTGGCTAAGGGTGGCGGGACTCTTTGTGGCAGAAACGTCCAGTGGAAGTTTGTAAACTTCAGAATAATCTGTGCCCAGCATCCAATTTCACATGAGGCAGTGATGGAACTGTATTTTATTTTGAGTTCTTCGTTATCAAGTGTTGTGCATCTTTGTTTCTCATTTCTTTTTCTTTTTTAGTGTTCTCCTCACTTCATCCCTCAGTAGCAGGTCAGACGTGTTGCTGCTAGCCAAAGCTGCATCTCGTCTTTGAGCCAGATCAGAGCTGTCCTTCTGATGCGGGGTCAGGTTCAATGTGAGATAAACAGCTTTGGATTCTAAACCCTTGTTGACATCTCATCCCTGCTGTACAATGTGGGATGGCTAATGCCCTCCTGCTGCTTGTGAAATGGCCAGGATTTAAATGCTGGGATCAAGAGTCAAAGAACCAGGGGATGACCCTGGCATTTTCATGCTGGATGCTTGCCTAGGAGAGGGCAACCCCATAGGCGTGCTGGGAGTGCTGGAGCAGACGGCAGGCCTTTCTGGGAGCAGCCCACACTGGCCAGCATTGCCACCCCTTTGCTAGAGGGAGTGTCTATCCTGACCCTGGGAGGAGAGGCCATCCCTTACTTTGCTGTCTTGGGCAGAATTGTTTTCACTAAAGGCCCTGGAACACTTAAACATGATTTTAAAGATCAATTATATATGTATATTTAATTGGGATGGGGTCTTGCTCTGTTGCCTGAGCTGGAATGCAGTGTTGTGATCATAGCTCACTGCAGCCTCAAACTCTTGGGCTCAGGTGATCCTCCCCTCTCAGCCTCCCAAGTAGCTGAGACTATAGGCATGAACCACCATGCCTGGCTATTTTTTTTTTTTTAAGTCTATAGAGACGAGGGTCTCACTTTGTTGCCAGGCTGGTCTCACACTCCTGGACTCGAACAATCCTCCCACCTTGGCCTCCCAAAATTGGGATTACAGGCATGAGCCATGGTGCCTACCCTCAATTATGAGTTCAAAAATCATAAAACTAAAAAAAAAACCCATTAGAGATGAACAGAATGTTTGTTTTTTAAAGCCTTTGTCCCTTTGAGCCCCAGGGACTCCAAGACGTGTACCCTCCTCCACGTCTTCCTGACCAGCTTTGATCACACCAGCCTTCTCTTTTAGGCTTTATTTCATATGAAGAAAGAGTTCATTTCTAAAAAGCAGTAAGTGTGAAAACCACGGAATCCAATCAACTTTATCGTGCTGTTTCACCCTTAGTGTTCAAGGTCCCTTTAGTGCTGATGAGTGAAAACATAGTCCAATAGTTGGACTATGACTATATTGAGCAGTTTCCTTTGTATTTGAGGTGGGTTTTAGCACAACAAGCTGGTGGTCATGCTGAACCAGATATTCCTCAATAATCTGGAAATGTAGCCAAGACTCCAAATTATGGTGACAATAATCAGACACTTCCGTAGGGCACACTGGGTGCTCGCACTTGCCTGAGCCCTTCCCATGTGGTTGCTATTTAATCCTCTCAACAGCCAGGAGGTGGATCCTGCTGCCAGCCCCATCTCATGGTGCCTCTGGTGCTGAGGTTGGAGAGCTGAATATTGGGGCTGCCCCACTGGGTCTCATAAGAGAGCTGCTTTTCCATCTTCAGTTCTCTGCCTCCCAATTAAACTCCCAGCCCCAGTAGGAAGGACTGAGGCGGGAGAGAGAAGCTCACATTTTGGAGAATGCAATTTTCTTGGATAGAAGCTGGTCCTTCCCTCCCTTTTCCCCTTTGGGAGATATATGATGGGGCTTCCTTTTTCCAAAGTTTCTTGTGAAGATGGAGCATCCTGGCATCCAGCTTTCCAGTTGGACACGTGCAGCATCAGGACCTGCTGCCTTCCCTGGGCTCCTGGCACAGGAGAAAGTGAGGTCGGGCAGCCCTAGCCCAAAGACAGGCTCCATGTGAGCCCCAGGCTCTGGACTTGTGGAGCCAGGCAGGCGATGTAAAGGCCACAGTCGGCTGGGACTGCTGTTGCTTGGGGAACCAGAAGGCTCCTACATGTGAAGATTGTCATGAGATGCACCCCTAGAGGGGAATCCAGATTTCTCCAGGGTCATCTAGAAAAGCCATTTGGGAGGAGGCTCTTGCTACTGTCACCCAGCCGAAGACCATGGAGGACTTGTGGGGTACGTGCATGATTAGGGTCCAGCTGGACGATCGTGGCCACCACTATCCAGTGGTGCAGGAAAGAGGCCAGGAGAACCAGCCTAGCCAATGTGGCGAAACCCCGTGTCTACTAAAAATACAAAAATAAGCTGGGTGTGGTCGTGCACACCTGGAATCCCAGCTACTGGGGAGGCTGAGTAGGAGAATCACTTGAACCCAGAAGGTGGAAGCTGCAGTGAGCTGAGATCATGCCACTTCACTCCAGCCTGAGAGACAGAGTGAAACTCCATCTCAAAAAAAAAATGAGGCCAGGAGAAGGAAGCTGTGGACAGGCCACTGCTACTCCTTTACTCCAAGCTACCACCACTGCATAGCTCTTGCCTGGTGTGGAGGAGGGGACGAAAAGAATGTCGAACCAGCTATGAGACTGAAGTTTTGAAATGAACTGAGCTGAATGTTAGAAATCTTAATGAGACTGGATAATTGCAAGTGATGGAAAAATTCGAGGGATGACTTTAAGGTCAAGATGACTTTAAGGAAGTCCCCACTTAGGGGGAAAGACAGGGAAGGGGTTGACATTGCCCAGATGGGGTAGTTATATTAAAAATGAAGGCATTCTATGTTGGCACCCTGTGAACTGAGACTCTTCCTTTCTTTCTTTCTTTTTTTTTTGAGACGGAGCTTCGCTCTTGTTACCCAGGCTGGAGTGCAATGGTGCGATCTCGGCTCACCGCAACCTCCGCCTCCTGGGTTCAGGCAATTCTCCTGCTTCAGCCTCCTGAGTAGCTGGGATTACAGGCACGCACCACCATGCCCAGATAATTTTTTGTATTTTAGTAGAGACGAGGTTTCACCATGTTGACCAGGATGGTCTCGATCTCTTGACCTCGTGATCCACCCGCCTCGGCCTCCCAAAGTGCTGGGATTACAGGCATGAGCCACCGCGCCTGGCCGAGACTCTTTCATAAGCCAGCCTCCTTTATCTATCAGTCTGATCCAGAAGAATTATTGATGTATTCATGCATTTATCCCACAATGCTTAGTGAGTATAACCTGCATACAATGCTAGGTACTAGGAAAACAGGACTTCAGAGTTTTACAGATGTGCTCTCTTCCTACCTACTAGGTTCTGAATTCCTAGACAGGGATTGTATCTTTTGTTTTGCCCTGTCCCTCACCGCTGTTTATTGTTGTTACTCATGTAATATCTATCGTAAGGTAATGTGTTGTTGATCGACAGTGGGAATTAACCCTTCCTCCTCCACAAGAGAGTGCTGGCATTGTTGCAGATTCGGGAAGCTTATTAATATTAGTAATGGTAATCTCTTATTTGTATCGGTAATAGTAAGTATTATTGATATACTTGATAGGACCCACCTATGGAAGTAACATTTTATTTTCTTTTTTCCCCAGTTGAATTATCATATATTTTAATTAAGATCACATTTTTTATTATTCTGTGCCATTCTTCAGTAGGAAATGATGCATCCAACCGAACAAGGTGCTCAGGTAGAATTAGTTCATTGTGAGTTCATTGAGTAGCTTGCAGGCAAGTCGAATGCCGGCTCCGGCCCTCATTTTTGTCATCCCTAAGATATTGTGTATGTTTGTATGTGTGGTTGTGTATTCCAGTAGCAATAATAGTGGTGGTATTAGTAGTAATCACTGTGAACAGAGATGAGTCTTTTAAAATGAAAAGCTACTGCAATTTAGTAGCTACCATCATAGTCTGAGCATGACATGAGGAGACTCGCTAGAATATTTCAGTCTTTATTGATTGAGGCCAATAAAAACTGAGCTAGAGGCCAGGCATGGTGGCTCATGGCTGTAGTCCCAGCATTTTGGGAAGCCAAGGCAGGTGGATCACTTGAGGTCAGAAGTTTGAGACCAGCCTGGCCAAACTGGTGAAACCCTGTCTCTACTAAAAATATAGAAATTATCTGGGCATGGTGGTGGGCACCTGTAATCTCAGCTCCTCAGAAGGCTGAGGCAGGAGAATCACTTGAATCTGGGAAGCAGAGATTGCAGTGAGCTGAGCTCACACCACTGAACTCCAGCCTGGGTGACAGAGCAAGACTCCATGCCCCTGCCCCCCAAAAACTGATTTATAGACCCCAATAATTACCTTTCAGTTATGTCATGAGTGTGTACTTCACCACCTGGATGCCACTGTATAATTCTATTTGTCATAAACTGTTTCTGGTCTTCTCTGTAATTCCCCAGCACATCTATTACACCCTCTGTAGAGTATCCTAAAGTGGTTGCCGTCATCCCGGGTCATCCCTCACTTCGGCTTCCATATTTTTAAGTGTCTTTTCCTTCCTCTTTGAGTGCCTCAGTTTCCCCCAGGATACCTCTTGTGATACTTATTTCATTCTGTCCACTCTCTCAGTGCTTGCTGTATTCTCTCTGCTGTTGAAGGCTTTTGGTGTGAGAATCACAGAAGGGAAGTAGTTGACATACAGGCTCGACTAACAGGGCAGATGCAGAGAAGTGGATTTATAAGGAAAATATGTGGAAGGAGCCCACGCCAAAGAGCCAACACTAGGATTCCAGGCCTGGCTTGGCCACAGATCTGCTGTGTGGTCCTAACAAGTCCCCTGCATGGAGTAACGTGCACTAGGTTTAGCTAGTATTATAACTGTTGCTGGTTATTAGATGATCTTTCTGGGCCTCAGTTTCCTCACTGTTAAGTAAGGAACATGGCTTGGATGATATCCTGAGTCCTCTCCACTCTCATTTTAGGTGTAATAAGACTATAACCCTTACTAAGGTAAATAACTAGGGAGCAAAGATGAGGGCTTAAATCTCTTGCATCCCTTGCAATACTTTGCACACTAAAGAAGCAGAGTAGCCATTTAAGAATTCAGAACTGAAGATGAAGCTGAACATCTCCTTCCCAGCCACTGGCTGCCAGAAACTCATTGAAGTGGATGATGAACGCAAACTTTGTACTTTTTATGAGAAGCGTATGGCAACAGAAGTTGCCGCTGACGCTCTGGGTGAAGAATGGAAGGGTTATATGGTCCGAATCAGTGGTAGGAATGACAAACAAGGTTTCCCCATGAAGCAGGTGTCCTGACCCATGGCCGTGTCCGCCTGCTACTGAGTAAGGGGCATTCCTGTTACCGACCAAGGAGAACTGGAGAAAGAAAGAGAAAATCAGTTCGTGGTTGCATTGTGGATGCTAATCTGAGTGTTCTCAACTTGGTCATTGTAAAAAAAGGAGAGAAGGATATTCCTGGACTAACTGATACCACCGTGCCTCGTCGCCTGGGGCCCAAAAGAGCTAGCAGAATCTGCAAACTTTTCAATCTCTCTAAAGAAGATGACGTCCGCCAGTATGTTGTAAGAAAGCCCTTAAACAAAGAAGGTAAGAAACCTAGGACCAAAGCACCCAAGATTCAGCGTCTTGTTACTCCACGTGTCCTGCAGCACAAACAGCAGCGTATTGCTCTGAAGAAGCAGCGTACTAAGAAAAACAAGGAAGAGGCCGCAGAATATGCTAAACTTTTGGCCAAGAGAATGAAGGAGGCTAAAGAGAAGCGCCAGGAACAAATTGCGAAGAGACGCAGACTTTCGTCTCTGTGAGCTTCTACTTCTAAGTCTGAATCCAGTCAGAAATAAGATTTTTTGAGTAACAAATAAATAAGATCAGACTCAAAAAAAAAAAAAAGAATTCAGGACTGCAACTGGGCGTTTATGGCATTGCTGATGAATTTTTATTATTTAACTATATGCATTACTGGCAAATTAAAGAATAAATGGACAAATTCTACTCAGCATTTGTATAGTGTTTTGAAAGAGACCCACATTCATGAATTTAATGTCCATCTCACCACCATTCCCTAAAGTGGGTGGAGCAGATCTGGCCTCAATTTATGGATCAATAAATGGAAGCTTAGGGAGGTGGTTATTTTTTCAGATTTCACAGCTAGTAAGAGGCAAGTCTAGAACCACAATCCCAGGCTCCTCATTCCTATGCCAGTGCATTCTCCAGCCTCCTAAGGGCTGCCTTTTTAGGGTAGTTGGAACAGTAAGAAATACTTTGTTGTGAAGACTGATGACATTCAGACGTATTAATCCCTAGAAGATACATGCCCCAAAGGATCATCACCCAGGAATGTTACTAAAGTGAAGCTTACCCATCTACTGTGAGGACCTGGCCAAGCAGATCTGTGCCTGGAGTTAGAGTCATGGCAGTGCTCCTAATTCTGAAGATGGGATATGGGAAGAGGACTTTGGGGTGTGCTGAGCTGACTGAGTAGAAACTTGAGCCTTGGCATAAGTTTGGGATTAGGGAATTATGAGAGACCCTCTTAAGAAAGAAGAAAGTGTTCCCAGACTCAAGAGCTCATGAACCTGGGTCTTGCCCATTCTGGGTAGGTAGCAATATAACCGTATCTGCAGTGCTTGGAGGGCAATGAAAAGGTTGTATAAAGGAGTATTCTTTGGCAGATGTCTCTAGTTCCCTTGCTGCAACAAATAAAGCTGGCCTCGCACTGGCCTGTCTGCTGCCGTGCTCTGCAGGGGTTGTAGTCACACTGAGCTGACCGTGTGGCCATCTGGGCTCCTAGGAACTCCTAGAGGGGCCAGACAATGAGGACCCAGGAGCTTCCAACCCAAGGTACTCCTAGAAGATGCCGTTACTTGAAAGCAGCATCTTCTGCCTCCAGGACTTGCTGAGAGACGTGCGATGAGAGCAGCTGCTGTCAGCTGTCGGGAGGAGCTGCTGCCCCAAGAGAGCAGGAACGGCCTCTGGGAGCTGTGGGTGGCTCTTGCCCAATGGGAGTCACCAGCAGGAGCAGCAGATAGAGCGCCAGGTGAGGCAGTCCTTCCCGGTGGTACTTAGCCCCCATAGAATTCTTGAAAAGGGGCAACGTGGTTCATCTTCCAAGAAGAATCCTTCTCTATTAGTTGACCTGGTTGGAGACCCAGCAGCTCAGGGTGGAGGCTTCAGCTGGCTTGAATTGTCACCTGGTCTTCAAGGCACTTGTTGGAGGAGTGGCCCAGGGAAAAAGAACTGCCTTCCTAAATGATGTTGATGGAAATAATATCAGTAACCCAATAGGTTTTCAAAGCATAGTTTGTTGGCTGGGAGTGACGGTTCGAGCCTATAATCCCAGCACTTTGGGCTCAAGAATCGCTTGAGGTCAGGAGTTTGAGACCAGTCTGGCCAGCATGGTGAAACCCCATCTCTACTAAAAATATAAAAATTAGCCAGGAATGGTGGTGGATTCCTGTAATCACAGCTACTTGGGAGGCTGAGGCAGGAGAATCGCTTGAACCAGGGAGGCAGAGGCTATAGTAAGCCAAGATCACACCACTGAACTCCAGCCTGGGCGACACAGTGAGACTCTGTCTAAAAACAACAAGAACAAAAAGCTAAAAAAAAAAAAAAAACCCTTAATTTGTTAATATTTGTATTTCCTCTGCTCCATCACTCTTTACTGATTAACTCCCAAGTGGAAGTGAATGTTTCCATCACCTGTCGTCACACTGTCTGCAGCACTTCTGTGTCAGCCATGCATCCACTCCTTCATCAAACATTGGTAGATGGGTCAGGCCATCAAATGTCAGTTTTCCTTTGCTGCATTGTACTTATTTATGTACATATCTTAGCCCTCCACTGGACTGAAGGCTTTTTTGTTAAGTCATGATAGGTTAGGTTTATGCTGTAGCCACAAAACCCCAGAGGCTTAACATAACAACAATTTTCTTTCTCACTCATTCACAAATCCTACAGGATTTGGTTGGGTGGATATTGAGGGGCTGCTTCATATAATTCCTCAGGGACTCAGGATGGCTGGGGTTCTACTGTCTTATAGCTGAGCTAACTGGAATGTGTGGCTTTGATCACTGAGACAGGGAAGAGAGCACTGAAGGGTCTCACCCCAGCAATTACATTACAATTACAATTATAGTCCTGAAGGGTCTCATGCCAGCCTGGAGATGGCATCACATCTACTCACAGCCCATCAGCCAGAACTAATCACATGGTCCCCACTTAACTCCAAGGGAGGCAGAAAGTGTAATCTTCCTGTGTGCCCAGAAGAAAAGAACGGGATGAGGGTGAGCACTAGAAGTCTCTCCACAAGCTTTTTATCATGTTCTTGATGAAAAGTGAGCTATGTATTCCCAGTTGCTCAGTCTGGAAAAGACTAATAAATAACGTAGGCATCCTCTGTGTGAAGGTCTTGGTCTTTTCCTTTTCCTAGTAACAGGGAGACAGAATGGTAGGTGCATGATTAGGGGCAGAAGCAGTCCCCTAAGGGGGCCCCAGACCCTCCTTCCTGGGCAAGGCTTAGCCTCATGTCCTGCCATGGAACAAGTCTGACAACTGCATACCACCCTCACCCCAGAGCCCCAGCGCACCTGGCTTCTCCTGCTCTGTGGGCCTAGGTGGAGGCCCGTTGACCAGGTCTCAGTTATGTGACATCTGGCATACTTAAAAATGTACTGTCTACCTCCATTCATGCAGTTGCCATCTGGGTGATCTAATATTGCAAGTTATTATGTCCTAACTTGGAGTGAGAGTACAAGAAGTGGTGATCAGAGTTCAGAAGGCAGTGGGTATTTGAGGGTGCACATTCATGGGGAATAAATGACTGGAGTCAGGAGTAAAAGAATTAAAACATGGAAAATTTGAATTTACAACTGCGATGGTTATCCTTCTTGTAACTGTGTTTTTAAATATTGGTTGATTGTTTTTCATCGTTTGGATTTTGCATAAAGAAATGTTTGATGTCACATTTGCCTTGTCTGTGGTTTCTGTGATAGGCCCCTGCACTAGTGTGGCAGTCCTCAACCGCAGGCTTCTGAGGACAGAGCCTGTCCTGCCTCTGTGCTGCCTCCTTCACTCTCTCTAGGCAGCTCCTTCTGCAATGCAAAATAAGGTGTTTAATAAATGATGAGGTTGGTGAATGTGGTCTACAGGGACAGCCTTCATATTTAATTCACTACACCCTCATTCTTATCTATTCTTTTTTTTTTTTTTTTTTTTGAGATGGAGTTTCGCTCTTGTTACCCAGGCTGGAGTGCAATGGCGTGTTCTCAGCTCACCACAACCTCCGCCTCCTGGGTTCAGGCAATTCTCCTGCCTCAGCCTCCCGAGTAGCTGGGATTACAGGCACGCGCCACCATGCCCAGCTAATTTTTTGTATTTTTAGTAGAGATGGTGTTTCACCATGTCGACCAGGATGGTGTCGATCTCTCGTGATCCACCCGCCTCGGCCTCCCAAAGTGCTGGGATTACAGGCGTGAGCCACCACACCCGGCCTTCTTTCCTATTCTTTAGAAGTACTGTTGGGACCTTCCAATCTCATATTCTACTGTCCTCCTTCTCCTCCATTTCTCTCTCTCTCTCTCCCCAGAAAAATTCTATCTGTGAAAATCCCATTTTGTTTGAAGGATGATAATCTGCAGGGAAACTTATGGAATGTGATGGGTTTACTGGAGTTCCGGAGTGACAGACCCCCAAGAACCCCCTTCGCTTATGCAGAGCTTCCTGTAGAGATGGCATCAATGTCCTCAGCGATCTGGAATAAACTGAGTGTGAAGTGGAGAGACTTTGAAGTCTCTCCCGCCTGACTTCAATCCCACCCCTGCTATTGACTGGTTGTGCAAGGTTGGGTCTCACGTTAGATCTTGTTCCCTTCTGATCTATAGTGGATCATGGTGTCTGTTACTCCATCTACCTGCCACACTTTCCCATCTCTCTTCCCGTGGTTTTGATTCCTTGAGGGGACCTCCTCATGCATCCCACGTGGTCATACTGTGGCTGGCAGTCATAGAATTGTGACTGGGTTTTGGGGTGCAGGGGAGGCATAGCTCCCCTGAGAGAATGTCTTTTTGGGTCCTTGGTCTCTCTCTCACCCAAGAATGGGAAAGGGGACCATGCCAGATGCAGTGCACTGGTAAAGTAAATAAAGGACCCAAAATTTTGCAGAAAGTAATTTATTTAGGTAGAGAGAAAGAGAGTAACAGCTGGCTTTCACACTGAGTGAGAAGGAAAAGCCGTTCTCACACTGAGTGAGAAGGATTCCCAGAGGGGGAAAACCAAGGAAGGAAAGCTTGTCTTACATTGAGTGAGAGAATCCAGAAAGATGGAATCCAGGAGAGGAAAGATACCTTCCACACCGGGTAGAAGGGGACCCCAGAGGGGGAAATCCAGGAGAGAGTTCGTGGAAGAGGATTCAAACATGGACTCCGAAGGGGTGTGGAAGAAGGGGACTTTTAACCTGGAAGGAATTCCCACCTTCTCCAAATTCCCTGGCCAATGAAAGGAGTTCCTTTAAACTTCTGCTGGAGTGATTGAGTTTTGTTTCTTTCCCATGTGCACAAAAATTAAAACAAATACCTCTAATCCCCGGATGGATAGGGGAGGGGGTGGGGGGCCGGGGGGGGCAGGTAGGGCATATCGCTGAGAAGTTCTTGCCCTTAAAACTACCCCCACCCTGGGCAGCAAATTACACTGCCATGTGTGTACCTATGCAACAATCTTGCATTTTCCACCCCAAAACCGAAAATGCAATAAAAAAAAAAAACTACCCCCGCCTTGTGGACCCAGGATGAGAACACATTCCCTCAGAATCTGTTCTGATCTATCTTCACACAGGGGTCTTCCTCACTCACTGGAGTCGGCAGGTGGCCCAAAGTGCTCCATTGCACCGGCCCCATTCACTGTACCAGGGAGGAACCTCATTCCCAAGCAACCCAGTTAGCATTTCCCCTGGGACTAGTGCATGGAGAGAAACAGTCCCTTTTGCACAAGGGCTGCTCAGAAAGAATGTGAGTCTGGGACTTCGGGCATCTGTTTTATGTGACATGTGAAATATCCTTTGAAAATGAAGAAAAACAGAAAAGCAGCATGAGAGCTAGGGCAGGGGACAGAGGCTTGGCCACATGGTCTGCCCCTGTATGCAGTGGGCCTGGAGTCAGCATCACCCCTGACTTCCCAAGGACAGGAGCCAGCACGTCCTCTTTTTATTTCAGCAATTTTGGGTTGGATTTCTGTCACATGCACTTAAAAGAGTTTGAATACAAGTACCAATATCATCCTCTAGTTTTTAAAACATATTAAATTTTATAAGTAATATATAAATTCATAATTACAGACATTCAGACACCATAGTGTTTCCTTAAAAGACCGAGTACTCAGCCGGGCACGGTGGCTCAAACCTGTAATCCCAGCACTTTGGGAGGCCGAGGCGGGTAGATCACGAGGTCAAGAGATCTAGACCATCCTGGTCAACATGGTGAAACCCCGTCTCTACTAAAAATACAAAAAATCAGCTGGGCATGGTGGCATGTGCCTATAATCCCAGCTACTTAGGAGGCTGAGGTGGGAGAATTGCCTGAACCCAGGAGGCAGAGGTTGCGGTGAGCCGAGATGGCGCCATTGCACTCCAGCCTGGGTAACAAGAGCGAAACTCCATCTCAAAAAAAATAAGTAAGTAAATAAAAGAAGACCGAGTACTCAGAGGAGGGCCCCATGCTTCCCCGCCTCTGCCCACCTGGACTCTCCTTTGCAAAAAAAAGTGTCACAACTGAGAGCTGTTTGGGGTATATACTTCCAGTTTCTTTTTCTTTTGGCATTTCTATCCATTTGTTTTTATACGTGCATATATAGTTTTATTTTTTAGCATATAGACTAGCTGATTACATGTATTTTTCTATAATATTTTTCAAGTTTTTTGAGATCTTTGATGTTAATACATATGATTCTACTCTATTCTTTTTTCCTTTTCTTTTTTTGAGACAGACTCTCACTCTGTTGCTCAGGCCGGAGTGCAGTGGCATGATCTCTGCTCACTGCAACCTTCACCTCCTGGATTCAAGCTATTCTTCTGCCTCAGTCTCCCAAGTAGCTGGGATTACAGGCACATGCCACCATGCCCAGCTAATTTTTGAATTTTTTTAAGTAGAGACAGGGTTTCATCATGATGGCCAGGTTGGTCTTGAACTCCTGACTTCAAGGGATCCACCCATCTCGGCCTCCCAAAGTGTTTGGATTACAGGCATGAGCCACTGCACCCAGCCTAATTCTACTTCATTCTTATTAAAGACTTCATAGTTGATACCATAGTTAATATGCCTAAATAATACGCTGTTGATGGACATTGAGTTATTATTGCTCTTTTTCTGTAGAGGGAAAGTTAGTGTTTGTTTTCCTGCATACATTTGGAGACATATCTGTAGGTAGAGTCTCCTAATAGAATGGCTGAGTTACACGGCATATACGTGACACATTTTGGTAGATTCTGCCAAAGCGTGTTTTAAAAAGGCTGTTCTGATTCAGACTCCCACCTGCAGAGCAGACTATATGTTTCCCCACATCCTCACCAACACTGAAGGTGACCCTGTTTCAATTTTTCCAGACTTGAACATGAAAACACATGAGATTGCTGTTCCTGTTTATGCCTCTGAACACTGGCCGGGGTGGGAGGGGGAACGTTCCCAGAGGTCTTGTTGTCTTGCATTTCCCCTTCTGTTAATTGATACTCACCAATTTAACTTTTTAAACATGTGGTTGTGTGTCTTCCTTATTGACTTGAGAAATTCCTAATGCATTACAGGTCTCAGTGCCATGCTATTGATGTTGTGAATATTGCTTTTGGTTTTGTTTATAAATGGGTTTTATTTTGTTTTTGTCTCATGGGTTATGTATGTATAGTTTTAGGATTTGTTTTTGTTTTTATGACTTTGAATCTGTTCATCTTTTTCTTGAAGGCTTCTGAGTTTTTTGCCTTTCCTGGGAAGGAAGGCCTTTCCCATCCAGTTAGAGATTTCATCCAGCGTTCTCATCTTTATCTGTTTCTCCATCTGTAAACAAGGATTATAATATGTGCCTCTTAAGTATTCAATGAGATAATGTATGTAAAGGGTTTCTCCTCCCTCCCTCACCTCTATCTTACTCTGTGTGGGCTGTTATATTGGGTGGCTTAAATAAACATTTATTTCTCATGGAGGCTGGGGCATCCAAGATTAAAGCACCCGCAGATTTGATGTCTGGTGAGGGCCAGCTTCCTGGTTCTTGGAGACGCCTTCTTGCTGTACCCTCCTGTGGCAAGAGGGGTGAAGGAGGACGCTGGCAGTGATCTCTTTTATAAGGGCACTAATCCCAGTCATGAGGGCTCTGTCCTTCCGGATTCTACAGGACTGGCTCCCTTATTTCCTGCAGGCATCTGCTCAGTTGCCGCCACCTGGAGAACCCTTCCCTGGCCCTATCTCAAGCATCCAGTCACCCCCCTTCACTCTCTGTCTCCCTTTCCTTCCCCAGTCTTCCCCTTAGCACTAAGCATTGCCTGACACGTTATTCATTGACTTATCCTCTACTGGAATGTAATTTCCATGAGAAGAGAGACTTTGTCTTGTTTCCTGCTGGGTGAATCTCCAGCCCCTAGAGCAACGCCTGCCACATCGCAGTCCCTCACCTGTTCGTTGAATGAATATAGAAATGTTGAACCTGGACTCTTTCTAATGAGGGCCCAGCCTGCTGTTAGAACCCTGGCTACCTTCCCTCTGGTGGGCCTCAGAGTGGGCAGTGTGAACATTTGCGCTCGTGAATGCCGTTTCCCATGGGCCTTGGTAGGTTCTGCCACAGAGGGACAGGACTGGTGAGTGTGTGCGTGCCTGTCCGTGTTTGTGTCTGTCCCAGCAGTAAATCATCGCTGCACCTACCATGCCTTTTCACATGACCAAAGGGCAAGTCAGCACGCTCTTCTGCAGCCTCCCTAATTGGTGTCATCTTCAAAAACAACCTGTGGCTTCCGACTCCGGTTTTGCTTGTGAAAGTGTCTCCCTGTTTCTCATGGAACATCTTAATGTAGCAGAGTACTTGGATCTCTCTGCACCTTCTCATTTCACTAAGCTATAAAATGAAGGCCTAAAAATAGGCGTGATAAGCAGATTAAGGCCATTTATTGCAGAGCCTTCCTCCTCACTTACCTACAGCCCTGAGCATGTGAGAGCAGAGCAGGCACTCTCTGGGGAGGTACAGCCAAGACTTCAGGTGTTAGAACGAGGCATTCTGGGATGTCGGGGTACAGAGATTTATCTCCTCTCCCAGTTGGGGAGGGAAAGCCTCCCTCCTTCGGCACCTGCCCCTATCTCCTTGTCTCTGCCCCCTTCCTTTTCTCTGCCTTTGATTAATTTTTTTTTGGGGGGGATAGTGTAGTTTAGAGCAATTAAGTTAATTGTCTTAGAAATCATTCTTTCTTTTGATGTAGTGTTTCCTCTATGGAAACTTCTTGGCTCTTAGTTGCTGTTAGTGCTTACTTATGATTGTCAGGTAAGATGATTTGAAATGATTAATGGGAAGATGTATTTCAAGAACAACAGCAGGCATTTTAAAATTAATTTTTAAATAGACATTATTTTTTAGAGAAGTTTTAAGTTCACAACAAAATTGAGAGGAAGGTACAGAGATTTCCCATCCACCCCCTCCCTCACATATGCACAGCCTCTCCATTATCAGCATCCCCCAGCAGAGTGGGGCAGTTGTGCCAGCTGATGGACCCGCATTGACACATCGTGATCACTCAGAGTCCGTAGTTTACACTGGGGAGCATCCTTGGTGTTGTGTATTCTATGGGTTTGAACAAACATGTCATGACATGTATCTTCCATTATAATATCCTACAGAGTAGTTTCACAGCCCTAAGAGAAAATTAAAATTTAATTACACAAATAATAGATAAATGCATGCTCCTTTAAAATATTAAAACATTACGCGTAAAGCGAAAGTCTCTTTTTTCCACTGCTCTCAATCTCAGATCTTGCCCCAGAATGAATCACTGTTATCAGTTTATTTGATGCTTCTATTTGTGCTCCAGGTAACTTTGGAGGATAGTGATAATAGTAATTACACCTCTGGTACTATTGACAAACAGAGCTCTAAGGCTGACACATGTACTGGGGACTTCATATAATTCTCCCAGCAGGCCAAGCGTGGTGGCATACACCTGTCATCCCAGCACTTCAGGAGGCAGATGACTTGAGGTCAGGAGTTTGAGATCAGCCTGGCCAACAAGGCAAAAACCCCATTTCTACTAAAAATATAAAAGTTAGCCAGGCATTGTGGCACGCGCCTATAATCCCAGCTACTCGGGAGGCTGAGGCAGGAGAATTACTTGAACCCAGGAGGCAGAGGTTGCAGTGAGCCGAGATCACCCCACTGCACTCCAGCCTGGGTGCCAGAGTGAGACTCCATCTTAAAAAAAACAAAAAAATTCTTCCCCCAACCCTATAAGGTAGGAGGTGGGTACCATTTTGTTAATAAAAGCTTTGTTGAGGTATAAGTTACATATCATAAAATTCACCATTTAAAATATACAAGTAAGTGGTTATATACTCACAGAGCTGT